CTATACTAATAAATAATTTTGTTAATTTGTTTTTTCTACTTTTTCTACTTTTCTTACTTTATTTACTTCTAATCCTATAGTGTCTATTGAATCAAAAGTGGCTATTAAAAAATCCAAGTCATAGCCCTTTAGTACTACATTCACTGTTAGGCCTCTACAAAATCCTAGAGTACATAGTCAGGGTCTAGGAGTTCTAAGGTGACTTTCAGATTTGTGGAAAAGGCTTCTTACTACAAATCCTACTTGTTACTCATTATTACTCTAATAACCTGACAGATGTACTATTGCTTCTGTAGACAGTCCTTAATTTAGTGTCCTAACTTTCTGTAGGCAAAGTATGCTCCTTACTTTTAGACTTCTCTAATGTCTATTAGAACAGATTGATTGTGAATTACAGGCAGATCAATCTGAGGGCTTAGAACTGTTAGAGCTAAACACATGTGTAAGTGTTCTATACAGACTTGACACATTCAAGCTATAGCTTAGTTGAAGGAGATAGTGTGTGTCTTCTACTTAGTGTAGGTGACTAGTTCTAGTATCATTCTAAGGATCTTATTAACCAGTTCCAGGTGAAGAGCTTTTTCAAGTATTCTAATAAGGACATTATTGAACCTGAGTATGAATCCTACCTTCTAGGCTAGGATATCAAACTCCTGAAAGAAGGCATTAGCAGAATGTTTGCTCTGTTGTAGAGACACAAGTTTGTTCTGTGTATTACACTTCTCATTCAAATCAATGAAGGAAGCACAGAGCTGCCTTATAAATTCTGAGTACAACTCATTGTTCTAAAGTCAGATTAGGCTTCTGATCCAATAACCTTCAATCCAGTTCTGAGCCTAGGTGACTGTGTTACCTTCCTTCATGAAGGAGAGGATGAATAGGATGTGATTAAGATCTGAGAATAGATTGGTTGAAACAGTAGTCATGTATAGTTTGACTTAGTGCTGGAAGTCCTCAAAGTGCTACCTATTAAATTCTAAAGGGTAGACTACATACACTTTATTTCTGAAACAGGTTACAACTTCCAGAATGATTAGAACAGGTTCTGAAGGGGCTGAGAGTATGTAGTTAGTAAAGGCCTCTTAGATAGAGGTCTACACATATTGAGCTAGCTCTACTTGTAACTACTGATCTAGTAGAATAGTAGGGGTGGTGGTCAGTATAGTAGGGTCTATGTTTACACTACAAAGGAATCAACACTAAACTAAAAGGGGTAATGAATAGAAGAAGGGTGGCAAAAGTTTAAAAGGGTTTAGAAAGTTTAAAATTTAAAAATGTAAAAGGGTCAGGACAAAGGAAAGAGATTAACATAATAGTGAGTACTAATGCCCAAAATGTAGGAGAGTTGTAGGGTGGTAATAGACAGTCTTGATCTAATGTCAGTAACAGTGTAGAGGGGACCTGAAGGCTCAGTAAGGGGACCCAGGTTACAACTATCCTACACAACAGAAATACAGAATGTAAGTACTAGAACATAGTCAGAACTTGTAGAACAGGCAGAGAGAGAGAGTAAGGCAAGAGTAGAGTATATAGAGTGAGCCTAAGAGTACAGGACTACCTAGAGTAGACAAGATCAAGACTACAGGACTAGTCTGATCTCATACACCTATATATACTAAACTATACAAGAGTACTCAGGGAGTGTGAGCTACTAAGAATGATGAGCCACAAAGAATGAAAGAAAGGAATGTTAAAGATAAAGGTACAAAGAATGAAGGGATGGACAAAGGGTAAGAGACCCTAGAATGAACAGAGAATGAAGGAGTGGTCAAAGGAATGGAATGATAAAGTAAGGAAGGGTAGTAGTAAGAGTCAGCATACATATAGTTCATAGACAGTGCCTCTAAGGGACAGAAGTCCTGAGTTCCAGTACAGAAGGGTGCAGAACCCTCAGAACTGAAGGTACAAGAGTAGAGAACTGTAACAGTTACCTGTCTGTACCTCCCAAAGTTACACAACTGAATCAAGATACTCAACTGTAACAAGCTGCTTGTCTTTAGAGATAGTAACACATATTCCACCAACTTTAGCACTGTCAATGCTAACAGCATCTAAAATCGTCTGCTTGCCTGTCACAACATTCCAGATATTTGCTGTCCCATTGTATGATCCTGACACTATAAAGCTTCCACAAGGTGAGAATTCGAGAGAAGAGATTTCCCCTTCATGGCACTTTTTTTTGTTCTTCATACACTTAGATACAATCTCTCAGATCTATTTGATTTTCAGACAGAAATGTTATTGAGGAGTTGTCAATTCCTATGCTTCATACTATTTAAAGGAGCTACTCACACTAATGACACCATCTTGCAACCCAGTTACAAGAAATTTATTGTCTGGACTGAAGCATAATTGTGTAGATAAAGAGGTAGTAGAACCAGAATTGGTTTGGTTCAAGGTGCTAATTCAAATAGCTAAGTGAATAGAGCTTTCCCTATAAAGTTAAAATCTAACCATAGTTTTTCTCCTGTCTTTACAATGTAAATTTGGGCCATTCTAGTGTATCCAGTAGCAAGATACTTTCCATCTGTAGAGAATTTAACACAATTCACAATGCTATACATTGATATTGAGCAAGGTAATTCTTCTACTAGTAAAGTAGTTAACTTACCCTTTATGACTCAAAGTATTTACAAGATCAACATTCAAGACTTTCTTTATCTCTGGGTTGAAAATTATAGTCCAGCCAGGGCCTTCCTTTCTAAGACTGGTAGAGAGCGCTTTCTCGTTGATATCATGAAGAGAGACACAAGGCTTTGAATATGACAAAGGTTGTGATGGTGCTGTTTGGCTTTCTTGATACAATGAAACCTGCTCATTATCTACCTTTAATCAGTAAAGAATATTGATGACTTAATAGCGACTTACTATCTGTCTGTGCACACCTTAAGTGTTTCCTTTTGCGTGCAAGGCTATCTAGTGAAGACTGTGATGAAGCAAGTGTTTCCAAATAATCTGAACTTGTATGACGTTTGCGTTTCAAGACCGCCCATTTTAAATTGGGATATTCAACCCTGGACCCAGAGTCTGATGATTGTGAATTGTAAGAGTTCTCGCGTGACATCTAAATACGAATACATTAGGAGTGCTACTTGCAATTCAACCGAAGGACTTGCCGGATGTCCTTGCAGAATGTCACGGAGATACGATATCTGAGCCCGATCAGACGGTTCGAATATCCAACATTTCTCGCATATCGTCCTAAGCACACTAGCCAAATTATGATCGTGTGGATATATAGGAGTGGAAGGAAAATTTAGTGTTTTCTGCTCCCTGATCTGCATTAAGACCTGAAATTGCGAGAATGACTCATATGGTCGCTTGCGTGTGTACAATTCCTTGAGCAATTCGTCAGTGATCATATTTAGGTTACTTAGAGGAATTGCTCACGAAAACAGTTATTCCGAACGCCCAGACATCAGACTCTTTGCTGTGCTTTGTATACTTGGATGGATCTGCCAACAGTTCGTATGCCAAGTACTGTGGAGTTCCCTTTATACCCGTACTTAAATTCACCAGGCTTTTACTGGCATCAATCATACGGGTGTATCCAAAGTCACAGATACGAGCGTCCCCGCTGTCTGACACAAGAACATTATCCTGGACGTTTCGGTAAGTATTCTGATAGATAATTACTAGGGCTGAACTTACCGATTTTATGTCTGAATGAACTATATCTCTTTCATGGAGATACGCAAGCCCTCTGGCAATCCCAGTTACCTGGCTTTGCCATCAGAGAAGGTATATTGCAAGTATTAGGAGGTACGTACTAGACGCAGTAAATCACACTGCAGAGTTTCTCTAGCATACACCCAGGCTGAGCCGTTCTCCATCCATTCCGAAACGAGCATTGGATGACCATTCTCTACATCAAAGGCATAGCCAACTAGCGGAAGTAAATTCTCGTGCTTCAACTTCGACCAGACATAAACTTCTTGCTCAAGTAGCTGGGTTGTGTGCTGAATCAGGTGCATGCGACAGACAATATGACACACTTACAAGCTTAATATCGTCATTTACAAAAATGCGTAAACGTTTGACGGCTACTTTGACTCGCCTCCGCCTCCCGATGTTACATTTGGCTATGCTTATGTCTCCAAATGCACCTCCATTGATTATTTTGCGATCCTCGAAAATGACGCGGTCAGTAATGTCGAGGCGCCTGAGGGCTGCGAACGTATGTGGAGCAACTGCAAACTGCACCAGCCGTTCCGTAGATGCCATTGATGGTGCATTGGCTGAATCCATGCCCATATGGTTCATAAGGTTCATATGTGTGTCAGAAGCGGCCATAGGGGGAGAATCAAAGCTCATCAACGAGTGAGGGCACAGTCGATACCTGAAGTGGGCGACGTACACGTGCATCAATATTGATGTATAGGCACACAATGCAAAAAAGGATAGATAAGACCGAGTACAGCTGCATAGCAGAAGTCCAAAAGTAATATGAATATCCAAACTTTGTAATACAATCTTCCTGAATCTAATTGCTGTTATTCTATAAATTCAGGGATAGCAGTTTGTTTATTTAACCTAATAATAATGTATTTCTAAGAGACAAACTAATATGCCTTGCTCATTTCTGGAAGGATTCATGTTTGCTAAACTGTTATCTCACCACTTACATTCTATTATATAACTACTCTATTATAGATCCAGCGAGTGTCAAGCTAAAACGTTGTATGAATATAACCTTTCATATTTATATTGAATGAGCTACCATTTCTAGTTTAAGTTACAGTATTCAAGTTGTGAACACAATAATAAGTAGTATTGCACAAAGGTTAAAATATAGAGTCCATACAATTAAACAAGAAATAATATTGAATTGAACAAATATTAGACGCTACAGCAAAGCGCAAAACAACCAAGACAAGCGGCACAAAGGCAAGGTGCACTAGCGGACAAGTAAAAAGAAAGACTGATGAGCATCTTTTTCAGTTTAGTAACATTATAAAATTGGAAACTTACAACTCAGACGCCTCCTTTCCCTTAGTCCCTATCGCCTTCCGTTTATTCTGTCCTTCGAGTTGCTCCATTGCTATATGCCGATGATACTGTACGTCATCCATATTCAAGTTCACTATGTTTGCTTCTTGATTAGGATAACTGTGAGAACACGAGCGACCACTCGGATCCATCCCAGAATGTGGTTGTGGCTGTACGTTCTGACGTGAACTTGAGGGTGGATTATAGTATTTTGAGTAAGGGACTCTGGACGTATGCGCTCTCGAGTTACCATAGTTGTTATTGCTCGAGGCTGGAACGTATGCTTGAGGTGGTTTAGGAAGATAACGACTAGGATACGCATTCCTCACATCTACAAGAAGAAACATCAACCATCAATGTTCTAACCTCTCGAACCAACTAACAAGATAACATGTTAGTAAATAACCCACCTTTTACGTACTCTCCGCCCAAACCTCTACTGTTCCTATCTCTATCATCTCGCACCCATCCCTCCACTTCATCATTCGAAAAATAAGGCCTTGCATCCCTCGCATTTGTAACATTGCTTGTACTGTGAGCATTCCAAGAGTTGTTGTTGTTGTAACTCCTAGAAGCATTGTTGGAGAAGTATGCACGAGCAGGCGCCTGCGCATGTCCGGCATGAACGTATGATCGAGGGTAGGAATATGTTGTCTCTTGTCCAGTTTGTCCGACCTGCATCTTCTTTCCTTTCCTAATGTCCAACGAAAACAGGAAGCCACCCAGAAAACGAAAGCAAGAAGCGAAGGAGCGAGGGATCGTACTTAAACGCTTGTCAAACGAAGACTCAGATAGAAAGGAGAACGCTAACAATATCGATAAAGACTCAGAGTGAGAGAAGTGCGTGAGAGAAGGAAAAGAGAGAGAAAGCACAAATAACCTTGCTAAACTACACAGACACTCTGTTAAATACACACACTCGCCGCTCAGCGGCCACATTGCTCCGGTTTGTGGCTTGTTTCCTAAAAAAAAACTCAGTGCAGCTCACTCCCGCCGACTGATCAGTACCACAGCACCACACAAATAACTAAGCACGGGTCACAGCCACATATATATGCTAATATAAACATGCATGGGCCACATACATGTACATCCAACGTCCAGAGTGTTACCCAACAGTATCTCTCTCACTCAACCTAAATACTATTAATAGAATAGTTTCCACATGGAATAGTAACTATTAACTACTAACTACTAGGGATAAATATTAAGTAGCTTTATACTCATAATTTATTTAAAGATGTTACAGTTCTCTGCTCTCATACCTTCAGTTCCAAGGGTTCCACACCCTTCTGTACCAGAACTCAGGACTTCTGTCCCTCAGGGGCACTGTCTATGGACTATATGCATGCTGACTCTTGCTACTACCCTTCCTTACTTCATCATTCCATTCCTTTGACCACCCCTTCATTCTTTGTATTATTCTATGGTCTCTTACCCTTTGTCCATCCCTTCATTCTTTGTACCTTTATCTTTGACATTCCTTTCTTTC